ACCGATCGATCACGCCGGATCCACGGCCCACCGCGTTGTTATGTAGCGATGGTGCCCTCGTTGGTTACGCAACGATAAGCAATTCTTCCTATCTGGACACCCGGAAAAGGGTCCTGACTCTCGACCTAATTGACCCCACTGACCTCCCCTCCAGCTAAACCTCTCCGGGTGGCCGACCCTTCAAGACTTAACCTTCGGTAAGTCATGGTCCCGCTGCCAGGTTGTACCGGTCAGCGGCCCTCGCTGAGAGTTAGGTTTTACAGTTCTAGCGATGCTAAGTATAGCCCCTTAGCCTGGCCTCACAGTACGTCCCTTAGACTAACCTATGTGGTCTGACACTTTATTTCACAACAATAATCAAAGGATCACATACCACCTTCCACAGGACTACGTGAAGGGATAGCGCCTTTCTCAATAGTCCACCAAAGATTCTCAGTAGTTCCACATGGTCGTGCCTCCCTTGCTCTGATCAAAAGCAGGTAAGGTCACACGTCTTTTAGGGATACTCACAAAACTTTTCAAAGTTCCAACATAACTGCCAGAGGTTTTCATCCTTGATTCTCACAAAGTATCTGGTCTTTCCTCGTCAGACTTTACATACATGCAAACATTATCATCACTTATAGCAACTCTTCTGAGTGCCCTCATAAACTCCCTCCTGTTAAGAACGTCCAATCGGCCATTGGACTTTCCTCTCTCTTTTGCAATCATACACAAAAAGCACGCAACTTTAGCTGTCATCTTTCCATTTACCATCATTTTATTTGAGCAAAATACATCATGTGATCATTTCCTAAATAATCTGAAAGCATTCGCTTCTCTTATACTTCCGGCACCACTTGTCAATAGGACAGGGAGGCGCAAGTACAGTGGAAGAAACTGCAGATCAGTTCACCTCACAGTATTCATCTCATCACACTATCATCCATATGGGCAAGTCCACAAACCGAGAGTGAGTGTGACACACCACACACAACACAGAGACAAAGGTTGAGACTCACGTATACACTCAGGACATGGGGTCCCGCACTGTGCAAAGGCTCCTGTCCTTTATAGAACTTAAAATATTATACAAGGAGTTCATGTATCCCATAAGGAATCAAGGTAGTCAAGCGTCGAAGTATCGGAACTCGACGGCCGCTCCACACTCATGAGCGTTATTCTATAAGGACATTAACACTCTACATCACATTAAAAAAAAAAAGGAGAAATCGTCAACGTTATACTCAACGTTATCATATGTACAGAAAAAGGTTCTTAAGTCTATAACACGGCGTAACATCTCACTACTGGCTCAGTCTACTGATGTACATGGGTCTGATCCAATCCTCCACGTATCTCTCTATATACAAGTAGCCATCAGTCTGAGAGTCAGAGAAATCCCGCATATGTTAGACTTTAGACCTTTCCGGACCTTATCAGAAATTCATATTCCTGATCACTCATGACCTCCAGCAGCTGTCTATTCAACTGCGCCCTTACCCCATCACGAGTCTTAGCGACTAGGTTTCCATTTCTATCTGTCCATACCCCAGATGACTCCCTGGTACACAATCCATTTGCCTCGTCCTTGAGGCTCTTGGGGCAGTCATCAGATCGATGTTTGCCCCTCTTGCAATAGAAGCACTTGCCAAGTTTCTTCTGAGTCATCTTCTCTCTTTCCAGCGAGGGTACAGATGACGGGGTTGTTGAGATCTTGCTCGTAACCTCCTGCTGTGGGACCCCTGAGGAAGCGGGGCAGGATGCTCTATCATCTGCTGGCATCCCCGACTCCCCAACACGCCCCTCTGGCCCTGACCCAGTGGCCCAAGATCCCAGTACATCCCGCAAATCTATAGCAATTGGCACCTCCTGAAGCATGGTTGACACCTGACAGTCCCTCAGGTCCACTCTCTGCTCAGTCCCAACCATGGTCTGGCCCACATTTTCCTTACCCTCCTGCTGTCCCGCAATCTCTTTCCGAAGGGTAGGTGAAACCTCCCCAGCTCTCATTGCCTCAACTGGTGGTCCCTCCTGTGGAATTGCTGGCTCATGTTCCAGTGTCAGACCAGCTGGCATACTCCACTCGACCTCTCCGACCTTCGTGCCTTCCTCTGCCAGTGTCTCTAACGGTTCCAACATCTCCTTGTCGATCAGAGGGATTTCCTCACCATCCTGCTGGTCTGCCTTCTCCATTTCCTTTTCCTTCTTGAAGACCTCCTCTGCAGGTTGTTCCTTGATTTCGAACCTTTGGACCTCTGTCCAATCCACCACTCTAGTGGGGGCTTGCTGGGCGTACTTGGCTTCGAGGTCTCGAATTCTTTTCTCCCACTCAGTCTCCTTAACCTGGAAGAAGGTCAGTTGTGCACACAAATAGGCCCTCAGGGCGTCAGTGACCTTGTTAAGGGTCTGGTTGACTTGTCTGACGGCCTCGTTCTCTGCTGAGGCCTTTTCCACGTCTGCCTTAACTGCCTCCAACTCTTTGCCCTGTCTTTCCAGCTCCTTCTTCAGGTCCTCAGCTTCTCTTTCTCAGTCCACTCTCTGGCTATATGCCTTTTGTGCCACCTTCGTCAGTCTGTCCCCAATCTTCTGATCTGAGGTCCTTGCTGCAGCGAAGCCTTCTCTCATCACGCTCCTTAGGTTGAGCAGGTCTGTAGAGACCAACTTAACCCCCATCTCCTGATGTTGTCCACCTGATCTTCCTGTGGCGTCCATTAGCTTATCGAAGCCCATCCAGACCTCTGAGAACAGAGGAGGGTCCTCCTCCTGAGTGCAGGTAYCCTTTCCTTTTCTGTYCTCCACCTCCTCAGGCGCCKTTCCTTGCTGCATCCTCTCATGCAGTTCTGCCAGGTTCTTCCTTCGGAGTTGAGTCCTGATCTTCAGCTCTCTTGCTGCCCTCTCTTCTCTGTCCAGCTCCTTTTCATCAACAGACGGTTCCTCCCTCAGCTCTTGCGTATGCGGCTCGTGAGGGATGTCTGGCTCTGCGTCAGGCATGGGGCCATCCATCTCCCTTTGAGCAGGTTGTGGAGGTGCATCTGAACCATCRGACMCTTTTGCTCTCTCATGTCGGTGGGACTWGTGTTCCTTCCTCCTTTCCTCCCTCYGAGCCCCTRGTGRCGCGCCCTGTTCAAAGGTTCCTCTTGCCTCTGTCTCAGATTCCCTTCTCCTTTTTTCCACAYCTCTCCTCKCACTTRCCTGACGAGCTGGAGTATAATAGTTCCATAGCAGCTTCTTGCAGTGCCCCCACTTCATGGCCGATGCCTCCATGGATCGTACGAAGGGTCTGATATAGTGTCTTACAAACAACAGGAAGYTCCCCACTCTCTGCTCTCCTGGGATAYAGAGCTCATCCGCATATCGATCATAAGCCCATAAGAACTYCCCCAGATTAGTGGAGTCGAATCGAATGGGTTGTCCATCCCTTCCCAGTGGTGAYGGATGCAAACCCTCCATCCTCCGTCCAAAGTCTTGCCAGCTCAGCTACTCTCTGACCARTTTAGCAATAGGGTCCGCCCACTCGCCTGTGCCTCGCACCTCTCTCAACATCCTGGTGCTGTCCCATCCAAACTCTCTCGCATGCCRCTCGAACTCCATCAGGAACAGCTCAATGTTCCCTCCCTGGAAGACTGGAGGTCTGTCCTCTCTCCTGGTCCTCATCTGCGACCTCTGTCGGGTTGCCCCCAAAGGGGTCCCCACTGACTCTGCCCCTCCCCTCCCTCTTGGCATGGCTGCCCCAAGCGGTATCAAGCCTGCACAACAGGGAAGAGGCGAACAGAAGCACACAGAGGGTAAGCRATGTCAGACAAAACACAACAGGAGAYAGACATAACCCTCCCACACCTATCTCAACTACCTACCTACACACACACACGYATACATAGCCATACACACATGCAAKTCTAACCATAACCTATCACACTATTCTACTGAGAGCAGCACCCGAAGTAGCCACTAGATGACTCTAAGTGGTGGGATCCYTGCTCACCTCGTCTCGAGCCACRRACTTCTTTAGCCTCGAGCCTGACACCCAGTCCTTCCATGCCGTCCCGTTCAGCTCTTCGATTTGGTAGGCACCATGTTCACCACATCTGGTGACCCTGTAAGGCTCCAACCACCTCTTATCCTACTTCCGCGACCACTGCTTTTCCAGGGACGAGTAATACAACAGCACAACGTCTCCCACCTTGAGAGGCTCCTTTCTTATCCTCGCCATTTTATCCCACCTAAGCTTGTCCTAAGTACGGCTGTCCGCGGTCCTACTTGTTGCCTCCTCAATCCTGTCCTCAATAGCGCCGATCTGTTGTGCCCTCAAATCCAACAGTTCCTCAAAGGTCAGATCAGTCTCGAGGTCCTGTCGCCTCCAGGTTTTCAGGAAGCTTTCGATACGAAACGCCGCGTCCCTGCCGTACCTGACGGTGCATAGCCAGTGCTTCTCCTGACGGTGATATTGTCTATGAAGAAAGCGACTCTGAGAAAGTTCGGCCACTGATTGGGTCTGCCGTAAGTCCACTTGGCAAGAAGATTCGTGATGGTGCTATGCCCTCTCTCCACAGGTGCATTAGCTTGAGGATGTGCCGCAGTGGTGTATTCAGCGATCACCCCATACTTCCTCAGAAGAGCCTTTACTTCCACACAGGTGAATTCGGACCCCCTATCCATCACAAACCTGAAAACAAAGGGATAGCGAAGATAATACTCTTCAATGCACTGAGCCAGCATCTCGCCAGTCTTCGTGCGAATGGCCCTGCCATCCACAAACCCAGAGAGGTTGTCCCGCGCATCGAAGATGAAGTTGTAGCTCCCTATTCCCAACGGCATTGCTAGCAGGTCCAGGTGTACGACGGCTCCAACCTCACGAACATACCTTGGGTGAAGAGAGGATCGCTCCTGGCATGGTACACAGGACTTACAGTAGTCATCAATCATCTGCCCCATGCCATCCCAATAGTACAACTCGTGGATCTTCAGATATGTCGTATCTGCACCTCTGTGGCCACCTGTCGTACCGTCGTGCAGTGCCGCCATAATGTGAATCTGGCGAGCGACGCCGCAGACTACTCTTTTGAGGTCTCTTCCTTTACTCCTCATGAACAGATGGCCGTCCCTTACCAGAAAACTAGGCCTCATCTTCAGAACTCGCGTGCAGGCACCCCTTTCCCTCATCTCGCACGAAAGAAGCATGCCGAGTTCAAGGTGTACCCCTTCATATTCTTCTGCTCGAAAGACTTCTTTAATCTCACCTTCCTCAAAGTCGTCTTCCTCCCTCTCATGGATCACGTTGTCACCTCCTCCCGGCTCTATCTCCTCTTCCTGGTCTACTATCGTATTTTTTACCGTCTCTTCCTGAAGCAGTGCATTTGCCAGCAGGTACACCCCATCTATCATCTTCTCGTACTTACCCACTTGTAGCGCCCCACTCTCAATCGTGAGCAGGTCCTCCTGTAGCTCATACTTGCCTGCTAATGCCAGCTCCATCATCCATTCTACGCCCGGCCTTCCCCAAGAATCTTCTTCAATATATGGCTTGAGGACTAAGTTTGGCCATCGTGCATGTCCTGGAGGCGCAAGCCACACAGGTCGCCCAGGAGTAACATAGTGACCCACGGCCAATGCCCAGGAGTTGATGTGAAGTCTTACATCCTCCTCGCTGTCCAGGAACCCGTCGACTGGCGGAGCATCCTCGATCACTCCTTGATTGTTCTTGTCCCAGTCGACTCAACTCAGCCCGTCCGCCCTATTCTTGTTCCCTAGAATTCGCTCCAACTCGAAGTCGAACATCCAGATGTACGTCAGCCATTGGGCAATGGTTGGATCTGAGGGAGCATAATTCTTCAGAGAACCGGCTAGAGCAGTTGGATCCACCCTTAATAAGAACCTGCTGCCAAAGAGGTAGTTTCTGAAGATCCTCAAGCAGTGGAGGACTGCTAAGGTCTCGCGCTTGAACTGTGAGTAGTTTCGTTCAGCGGTGTTAAGCGTTCGAATCTCGAATCTTAGCGGACGCTCCTCTCCATTGAGGTCCTTCTGAATCAAAACCCCTCCTAAGGTAGTCGGTCCTGCGTCAGTTTCTACGATAAAGGGTCTGGTCATTACAGCAGCATGGTCTGGTACCCCCAGTACCAAACCTCCTTCCTCAAACTCCTTCTTCAGGTCCCTTACCACCACCTCCTGCATTTCTCCCCACTCCCAATCTCGGCCTTGACGCACAAGCTTTCGCAGGTGCTCTGTCTTCACCGCAAACCCCTTAATAAATATTCTCCAAAACCCGCATGTGCCGAGGAAGCTTCTCACTTCTGACATCGTCTCCAACGGGGTTGGCCATTCGAGAATCTTGTTCGTCTTCTTAGTATCTGGCCGACGACCCCTCTCGTCGCACACAAATCCTAAGATAGTGGTACCACTCATGCAATGTTTGGATTTTTGCCCACCCGCGGTGAGGTTATGCTCCTTTAACAAGTCCAGGACTTGATATAAGTCTTTCACATTATCCCAGACAAACTGTCTGATTCCCGGCATGACCTCCCGCTCATCCTTCTTCTTCGACCCTTTTACGGTCAAATCATCAATGTAAGGTTGAGTGATGTGAGGGCTTACTGGCTGCATCGCCCTCACCATGTGCCTCTGGACCATGGCGACCGCATTCGTCCACCCCTGTGGTGCAACGTTCATGTGGATCAACCCTAGAAGGGTATGCATCGCCGTCATTGGTCTGTCAGATGGGTATACAGGAAACAGGTCATAACCAGAATATAGATCTATCAGAGATATAATGGCCCTCCCTGCACATGCCTCTGAAAGCGCATCTGCGTTAGGGAGACCACCTGCGTCTCTAACAGTCACAGCATTTAGGCGCTGCAAGTCCTGTACCCACCTCAACGTCCCATTTGGCTTAATAAAACAAAACCAGGAGGATGCATACGGCTCGCTCGAGTAGTCTGATACATGCATGCGGATCTTCCCATCTAGGTAGTTGACTACCTTTTCCTCATCAGCTGGATTAGGATATCGTGCACCCCGCAAATTCCACGGCTCATGCGGCACGGTGTGTATCCTAATCATGGGGATTTTATCCACGTCCAGACGTCCTCTCTCGTCATCATTGAAGGCATATGCAGTGTGCTTTCCTCTTATGATGTCCACCATAAGCTTCTCTTCCTGCGCTGTAAGGAAGCCAGGCTCCCTTATAATCAGCGCCTTCTCGGTCTCCAGATTGATACGACATGGCATACTCTCARCATTCTCCCGCATCTGGCGTATCAATTCTCTCTTCCRCTCGTAGTATACTTCCTTTTCCTCGGCTACGAGCACTGGAACAGGGCGGCACTTTTGATCTACCTTTTTGTACCGCCTTTGAGATCCCTGCTTGAGCCCACCTCTAAAAAAGGCCGAGTCGCGCTCTAAGGCTGTGCTCCACTCATTCCACCTACCTTTACGGGCGTCCGATACACTWGTTTCATTTCTCCTGCACCCATTTGCTCCACTACCTTCTCTCTCAAGGCCTCCACAGCCTCGGGGTCAGCCATCCCATAGGTTGACACTATGTTCATAGCATCGCCTATGTTCGCCAAGCTTAGAGTCARCGCCTCTGGCTCTCTTCTCTCCTCATACTTGCTGGCTTCGATCCTTAGCMTTTCTTCTTCTGAMTCTTCAATCGTGAACGAACCGGGGTTGGGCCGGTTCCTTACGCTCTTGGGTCCTGTGTTCTTGYAAGTGATGACCTCGTAGTTCCCGCATACGGGGTTACACAGGACGAGGAACATAGTTCCATCGTGTTTGTTGAGGATGACCGTCTCTGTCCCACTTAGGAACGATCTCCCAAGTAGAATAGGGTGGTCCAAGTCAGGCATCACAAAGAAGCAGCTTYTTACTTTCAYCTTTCCAATTTTCAATATTACTGACRACGCGGTCCCAATGAATATCGATCGGCTATTGGCCCCCATTAAAACCCCGTTGTCAGAGCGGTCTATTTTCATTCCCGGCYGTACGGCATGTTCCTCCTTTATGAGGTTCATTTCCGCTCCACTATCCACCATCGCAGTGCATGTCTTCTCTTTCACCACAACKTCGAGGCAGCCACAGGCGACAGACTTCCAGTCCATCTTAGTACCTGTTTCAGCCCACTCAGCCTCCTTAGGGATTATAGTCCCTAGTCGCACACTGGCCACCATCTTCCTGGATAGTCGCGCCCTTAGCTCATCCCTAAGCCTAGGCGCTGAGGGTAGTACATCCTTCAGGTTCATAAGGTGATTATGACCCTCTAGGATTTTGTCCATTATCTCTTCCACATCGAAGCCTTCTTCCACTCGGACAGCGTACTTCTTCTTCTTAACTTCTTGTACCTTGTCTATATTAGGCCTGACACCCCTCTTCTTGGCTCTTTGCTCGGCCCTCTCATCCTCTTCCTTCCTAAACATATCATCTTTGTCATCCTCTCCTTCTGGAACGTCCACTACCTCTTTCTCTCCACTGGGTTCAGGAACATCCTTGGCCGGTACTTCGGGGCTCACCGGCCCTTTAGCCCTCGTCCTGACAGCGTGCGGTGCCCTCCCCGTCTTGGAGGGTGGCCTATAAGTCATTCCGGACCTTGGCGCTGGGCCCGAAGTCGTGACCAGATCCTCCCTGCGACCCTGCACCAAGATTGTAGAGGTATACCGATGGCTCCTTACCTTGCCACTCCTTGACTTCTTCGCACATATCAGCCAGCTTCTGTTGGTATCTCCCGACTTTGTCTATCAGCTCCTCCATTCTCTTCATTGTCTGTCGGGCCGTTCTCCAATAATCTTCCCCTGTCTCAGCACGCAACGGCCTGTTCCAGCAATCTTCCTCAATCTGATCGTCGGACTCTACTATGATCGGTTTGGTCTTAGTAATGTCGGYCTTCCTTTCTTGCTCCACCTCTGCGTTCTCTCYTACCTCCTCCACCCTAACGTTACTACGGACCTCTTTCTCCTGCCATATCCGAAACATGGCTGGAGGTGCGGGTGGCTCACCGGCCTCAGCCCTTCGCAAGGCTTCCTTCCTCGTACCGCCTGGAATCTTCGGGTCAAGGTGGTACCCCCACTTGTCGTACATGTCTCCATCATAGTTGGTGCTAATCAAACCTTTGTCCTCGTCGTTCCTCCTGACGTGGCAGAACTTAATAGTATGGCCTTTCTKCCCACAATGCCAGCAAATGGCATTTYTCCAGTCTACTCTCCCTCTGCCAGCACCTCTTCCACMCTCTTGACCGCCTTGACTTCCAGAGRCCGCCCAGTCCTCGTTTCCCCTGCCTGCAGCGTTACCACYACCATTCCCTCTRTCGTTTCCTCCTCGGCCACYATTCCCTCGTCCTCGGCCCCACCCTTGATTTTGTCCTCGTCCACCGCCTTGGWTGCCTTGCGATCCTTGTGSGGCTGACTGCTGAGGTTGGTTAGGCGGTGGGGTTGGGTGGCTCACCTGCTGAGCTTGGGGTCCCGGGKAGCCRCAGGAAGCTGTGMTCRTTGGCGGTCCGACACATGACSYATGCGGCCCACTCATCRGYCATGGCGCGTATGAACAATGCCCATGCCAATGACTTGACGGTCCACAGCCTGGYCATGGMCCATAGTGTGCTGGTGCAGCCTGATTGGRTGACTCCGGGGGTGGCATTGCTACAGCTTGCGGGGCCTCACCCCTCCCTGAGCCTTGCCCCCCCTGAGCCAAGTTCCTTGCCTTCCTCTGAGTCTTTGTCAACTTCTGTGGCTCAAGCTCCTCTTCCTCTTCCTCTTCTTCTTCCTCCTACACCACCGCTTTCTTTGCTTTACCTTGGGTCTGTGGTGCCGCCATAGTTTTTCTTCTTGCCTCCTTCGCTGCATCGAGTTGGGCCACCGCATCCTCCACCATTTTCTTGAAGTCGCCCCCATCACTCGTTGTAGCGTCTAAGGCCTTCCTTTTCTTCCTAGCCTGTCTCATCTGGTAGATGTCTACCTAGTCCAGTTCTCCGTCCATTACGCCTTCCTTTATGGCAGCCCAAGTGAGCTTCTTCCCAGGAGCAGCCTTCTTGGTAAGCGAGAAGGCTTCCCAATTCTTGAAGTGCCCCAGGAAGGTAGCACACTGTTCCTCTTCTGCCAATCCTGGGACTTTCTTCGCCATCTTCTCGAATGTTGTTGTAAATGCCCCCACCGTGGAGAACTCATTTCGTTGTAGCATCTCCAGATCTGTCTTTGTCAACAAGCCGTCTCCTAGCTTGAACCACCTTTGCATTTCAGCCTTGAACTTTGCCCAGTCTCCCCCTGCTCCAGCACCCACTTTCATGATTTTTGACCGAATTTCCCACCAGATGTATCGAGGTGGATACTTAAATTTATCCGCTTCTGGCACCTCGGCAGTAATCTGTTCCAGGAGCTCCATCCACTTTGACACCCTCTCCACTTCAAAGTGGAAGATGTCAATCTTTGGCACTTGTAGCCGTGCCAACTCCTTTTTTTCGAGTGCCTTGACGAAGTCTTCCGGCGTAGCGGCCGGGCCCCGCTCGATTCCATCGGCGTCCGGCATCTTCACCTCTTTCTCTTAACCAATCTGTCAGGAGTAACAAGGGGAAGACCGGTGAGCAGTCCGTAAAGTTTCAGAGGGCTCGCCCTACATCATTCCTGCCCACTCTACTTCTAAGTTCACCTAACCGCTCTACCATTAGCCATTCACACCCAAGATACAACCTTTAGTCGCACTATATATCACTTAGTCTTATTATGATCTTACACACACCCCCTCTCATATAAGATATACCAACCTATAACTGTTGTCGTTTTGTCTAGACCGTCAGCCTGCACTTAACCTGGGTTCGTTCTCTTAAGGACCCCGGTAGGCAGCCGAGATCCCCGGCAACAGCGCCACCTGTCGAGCGCTTCGGTCCCTCACGGGGACCCTCCCGGCCGCGTCACGCAGGATTATGCAGGACTTGTCGCGGAGAGCGATTGCCGCTCTGGCCGAGTGCGCCAGCCGTACCTCTCGCTAGCCCCTACGACAGGACAGAGTCACGCGAGGCACCGCTACCTCCACCTGCGGGAGCTGTCACCATCCCTTAGGTGGGCGTATCCCTCCCGAGCTACTGAACCACATGCGAAAGTTTTTCATATGCAATTGCAGAGGTGGCCCAGCCGAGGGCGTTTCTCGTTCGCTATAGCATAGGGGGTACGCGCGGTCGAACGCCCGAAATCGAACCCGTACACGAGTCGTCGTACTTGGGGGCTGAAATCCCAGGCACGATTCGGCGCCGGTCGACTATGACGCACTACACACCCACGCGTTACACTACAACACCCACGCTTACCCATGCATAACATACGGACACACACACAACAATCTCCACAAATAACACCACAACACAACAACACTCCTAGTCCCTTCAGTATCCGACCCATAACTCTACGCAGTGGAAGTCGGTAACTGCCTTGCGCGAGGTTTAGTATAAGATCGCGTGAACGTAGGACCCACGCATACCGATTTATAATGCATTTCTACGCAGATAAAAGCGATGACGGCGCATTATGTGGTGCCCATACCCGAATGGCCTATTCTAGGCCATGGGGTGGCTCCCGACGCTCAGGCGTTGGCTGAAGCGCACGCTAAGGGGGGGGTTAACCCTTTAGTGGGCGCAAAATCGGCCTGAGGGCCTTTCCGTGTTCTGCACCCTAAGGTGTCCCAAAGGATGCGGGGTAAGACGGCCCCCAGGGCAGGAAGGAATTTGCAGCGGTGGTGAGTTATCTGATGCATCACCAGCGACACGCTAACCCTTCCGCCCGGAACTGTATCGTTCCCCTAAAATAAATTTTCAACAAGGGAAAAAAAACAAGCACTCTTAATATAATTAGAAGAGGCACCGCCGGGACTAACCCTGTGGGGGTCATCCAAGTGTACGCCTACTTAGATTATCACCTCAGTAGAACGGGGGTAGAACAATCTCACTCAAACACAAGGGTTGAGAGGTAGTTCAATCTCACGACAGTTGTGTGGTCTGCCCATCTGAATCCACGCAATACCACTCGACATGAATCAATCGAGACTCTTCCATACATACCTGCAATCACACCACGATATCAAACAAAGACCCACATGCTACACGGGGTCAACTCCAACCAACCTCTCCACTCATGCCCTTCGCTTTAGCCAGGCAAGCCCCAACCTCCAGCCAACCAACCATAATTAAGTACTCAGTACCTCTGTTAAATGGCCATTCAATAAAAGTCTGGGTGAAACCTTAACAAAACACATAAAATCACCAGGGCTAGAGCCTTCTTAGGTTGAGCATCGAGGGTGAATTGGGGTTGAGTCGTAGACCGACGGATCGGCAACCGACCTGTTATCAGCGATAACCGAAGAATGATCCTTTGAAGGAATAAGCCGAACAGATCAAGCCCTCAAGTGACAGCACGGAAAC